AGCTGCTGCTTCTAGTGGTTGACATCAATGGCTTTCAGCTCAGCCAGAAGAACTACCATCGGAGTGCTATTGAGACAGTCCTCTTGCTCAATAAGGTCAGTGAGACCAATGCATCACTATTATCTTGATACTCCTGAAGTCAGTGTCACTACTTCTTTGTGACCTTATACTTGGTCACATATGTAGCGAGTAGTATAGATAATGAATTAGTTATCCTCTTGCAAAATGCATACTTTTTATATCCTATGAACCAATACGCAAATATATTGCATTAGCACATTCATATGCCAGCTACTCAATATCATTAATATGTTCAACGCCACCTGATCACTGAGCTATCATTTTAATATACTCTTCTTAGTAACCCTTTATGTAAATAATTAAAAATGATGATAAGCTATGTGCAATAGGAAATGGAACTATACAAGGAAGACCTCCTCTACAAACCAGTAGTGGTGGCTATAAATAAAATGGACACACCCGGTGCCAAGGATAAAGTGTCAGAATTAACGGAGCAGCTTCACACGTTGGATGGTGAGATCTTCCATAAGGTTTTAGATAACAAGGGGATGATGACAGTTTTCCTGGAGTAATAAAGCTATTGATGGGTGACCATTAACAGTTATCTGCCTTGATTTTGTAATTCTGCAAACGTTCCTGGGCTAGTGTGACAAGAGGTTGCCATCCAAATTTACCTTCCAGTACTTAATTATTTCCATTTAGGGGATCGTTGTTTCTCATGTCATCTCTGTAACTATGGTGATAGTAATTGATATCAATTAAATCCTTCTCAAAGCACAAAATCAAGTCCAATAACTTTCCCTCTTGTGGAGTATCATATAGTGCACCTAAACCATCGTCACATGGTTGTTTGTATCACTTGTTCACTGGGATGAATGTTTATTTACAGAAGTTGTGAAACAATTACCAGAGGATATCCGCCCGAAGAGACTGCTCCGATTTGACCATGTTGTGCCCATCTCAGCAGACAAGGCACACGGAGTGGAAAAATTAAAGCAAGTTTTGCGCAGTGTGATGGACTTGTATGATGACGAATTTATACAAGAGGTGAATCAGGAAAACAGAATCGGACTGAAGTCTCGGAAAGAGAAAGGCATACAGCTCGTATAAGTCTGCAAGTGAGTTTCTCATTGTTTATTGAAAGTGAAACGAGTGATGTGGCCGAAAACAAAATACGTGTTTCGACCTGAAGCTGTCGTGTTTCTTCAAGTACTTTAAATGTGATCTCTGTGGCAGTTGCTATACTGCTCAGTGGAAAGATGCAAACTAAATATCATTACAGCATCAACTACTAAGTGGTTCAATTTAACTGATTGGTGGAATAGTTGCAATGCTGAAATTGTTAGTTGCACACAGGCTGTGTAAAGTTTTTTTTTTACATATAAACAAGTGTACAGATTTGTTATTTGTTAATTTTTTATTTTTTATCGCCTATTATAACTTTTAGTATAATCACTACCACAAACATAATCAATCAATTAAAAATAGAACTTAATAACAATTACCTAAATACTATTAATCTACTTCCACATCTGTATTTTCCACTTTCCAACAAGTAGAACCAACATAACTTGGTATGAAGCCAGGGGCGTAGATAGCGGGGGGGGGATGCATCCCCCCACTTATTGACGTGGGGGGATGGCGTGTACAATCATCCCCCCACTTATTGACGTGGGGGGATGGCGTGTACAATCATCCCCCCTACTTTCAGGAGGAAAATGGGGGATTCAAAATTTTCTGGGGGAGGACCCGCCTTACCACCCTCCTCGAAAACCTGCATTGGCCACTGTCGAGCGTAACAAATTGAGCACCCTCCCCCCCCCTTCAAAAAAATTTCTGCGGCACCTGTAGAGTACTGCTAACAAAGATTATGATTATGAATATTTGTATGCATATCAAAAGTTAAATTTGAGTTCATCTGACAGGGGCGTAGATAGCGTGGGGATGGGGGTATATCCCCCCCCCACACTTATTGAGGTGGGTTGGCTTTCATCCCCCCTACTTTCAGGAAGAAAATGGGGAACAGACAATAAATACTGGATATTTATCTACAAATCCGTCATCGCTATTCATACTCTCCTAATGTATTATTACAGAAACAACACAAAACGTGACATACATGTACTGTAAAATGGCTGTAACTCGTTCCAAGAATGACATTATTTTACTGAAACTCAACTAATTTTGGACGCATTCCCCATATAGGATTTTTTTTCCAAAATACCCAGTCTTATCACTGCTCACAAAAGTTAAATCCTTGCTTTATTCAAAATTAGAATTGACCTATTGAGAGTTGGTATATTGAATTTTCACGGGGATTGAATGGGAAAATTCAATTTCATCTCACTTTTTTTGGGGGGATGGGGGTGCTGAGACCCGACCGGAAGTATATTCCTGATTTTGTATAAGGGGTGAAAATATGCACTCTTTGGTTCAAATCTGGTTGTTTTTCTCATATTTTTTTCCAGTTTTAACGTTCTCAGTAAAATGTTTTATCAAAATTTCAGGGGGAGATAATTCCAGTGCTGTAGTTGTCAACGGGGGGTCGGTAGCACGGGGCGGTCGCCCCCCCCCCCAGAATTTTCAGGGCAAAGGTATTTTAGCCTAGGTAAGTCTGCACTGGTAACC